TCTCTCTCTCTACGTATCTACCTCTCCCTGTAACTCCGTCTTTCAAATAAATAAAATAATTCTTTTAAAAAAAGAAATTACTACAAAAAGCTATTTGCCAACAAACTGGAAAATCCAGAATAAATGGATTGATTCCTGGACACATACAATCTATCAAAATTGAGTCATGAAGACATAGAAAACCTACACAGATCAACAACCAAGATGGAGACTGAATCATTAACAAAGACCTTCCCAATAATGAAAAGCCCAGGACTAGATGGCTTCACTGCTGAATTCTAACAGACATTTAAAGAACTCTACTTCTTCTCAAGCTATTCAAAACTGAAAGTGAAGGGAATCGGCCAAACTCCTTCTATGAGACCAATGTCACCTTAAATCCAAAACCAGAAAAAGATACAACAGGGAAACAGAACTACAGACCAATTTCCTTGATAAACATAGATGCAAAAATTCCCCAACAAAATTCTACCTAATGGAATTCAACAACACATCAGAAAGATCATTCACCCAGACAAGTGGGATAGTATTCAGGGATAGTTCAACATTCATATATCAATAAATGTGATACATCACATTAACAAACTGAAGAACAAAAACCATATGATTATCTTGATAGATGCAGAGAAAGAATTTGATAAAATAAACCATCCTCTTATGATGAAAATCTTATGCAAACTGGGTACACAAAGAACAATGCTCAAAACAATCTAAGCAACTTATGAAAAACCTACAGCAAGTATCTCATTGAATGGGGGAAAAGTTAGAAGCACTTCCACTAAGATCCAGAGCCAGACAAGGTTGCCTACTCTCACTACTGCTATCCAATATTGCCCTGGAAGTTCTTGCCAGAGCCATTAGGAAAGAAAAAGAAATCAAAGAGATACAAACTGGAAGCAGGAAGTCAAAGTATCTCTATTTGTACATGACATGATTCTATATATAAAGGATCCAAAAAACTCCACTAAGAGACCATTAGAACTGATAAGAGAGTTTGGTATAGTGGAAGAATATAAAATTAACGAACACAGGGCTAGCGTTGTGGTGCAGCAGGTTAAAGCACTAGCCTGCAGTGCTGGCAGCCCATAGGGTGCTGGTTTGAGTCCTGGCTGCTCCTCTTCCAATCCAGCTCCCTGCTGATGCACCTGGGAAAACAGCAGAAGGATGGCCTAAGTCCTTGGGCCCCTGCATCCATGTGGGAGACATGGAGGAAGCTCCAGGCTCCTGGCTTTAGACTGGCTCAGCTCCAACTATTGCTCCCATCTGGGGGAATGAACCAGCAGATGGAAGAATTCTGTCTCTACCTCTCTCTGTAACACTTTCAAATGAATAAAATAAATCTTAAAAAATTAAAAGAAAACAAAATTAACACAAAAATCAATAGCTTTTGTATACACAGACAATGCCATGGCTGAGAAATTACTTGTAAACTCAATCCCATTAACAATAGCTACAGAAAAAAATTACAGGTGAAATATCTCTACAATGAAAATTACAAAACATATGAGAAGGAAATTGAGAGGCCAGTGCTATGGCGTAATGGGTAAAGCCACCACCTGCAGTGCCAGCTTCTCATATGGGCACCGGTTCAAGTCCCAGCTGTTCCATTTCCGATCCAGCCTCAGCTATGGCCTGAAAAAGCAGTGGAAGATGGCTCAAGTCCTTAGGCCTTCAGATCGGCGCAGCTCCAGCCATTGTGGCCATCTGGGGAATGAACCAGCAGATGGAAGACCTCTCTCTCTGTCTCTACTTCCCTCCGTAACTCTTTCAAATAAATAAAGTAAGTCTTTAAAAAAATAGACAAATGAGATTACATCAAGATGAGCAGCTTTTGCATGGTAAAAGAAATACTCGGCAAAGTGAAGAGGCAACCAACAGAATGGGAGAAAATGTTTGCAAACTATGAAACTGGTAAATGATTAATATCAGGAGTCTATGAAGAGCTTAAGAAGATCAACAACGGGGCCAGCACTGTGCTGTACTAGGTTCAGCCTCCGCCTGTGGTGCCGGCATCCCACATGGCACTGGTTTCATTTCCCAGCTGCTCCTCTACCAATCCAGCTCTCTGCTTTTGGTCTGGGAAATCAGTGGAAGAAAGCCCAAGCGCTTTGGCCTCTGCACCTGTTAGGTAGGAAGTCAGATATGAGCTTATGTGTGTGTGACAAAGGCCTAAAGAGTTGACATCTAGGTCCAGCATATGCATCTCAAAGTCATCCCAATAACCTTCCAGGGGCAGCCCAGTATCTGCATCCTGCCCTGCCCCTTCTACCCGATAACCTGCCAGGTGGGGGTCCCCACCCCTTCTGCCTGATAATCTTCCAGGTGCAGCGCAGTATCTGCATTTCAAATATCCTGCTCTGGATCCTGATCCTCCAGGGGGTCCTGCCCACCCTTCCTCTAACCAGGGCGACACCAGCCAGGCTTCCTCTTGAATGATAACTTCAGGGGGAAAACTCAGATAGGATTTTTTCATATTTACATCCAAAAAGTCCTTTGTTCCAAGAGGAGTAGAGGTGGGGAGTCAAGACCCATCCCCTTAGAAACCCCCAGCCTCACCTGGGCTTCGCGCTAGCCCCCTACCTCTATGCTGAGCTGCCCGCCTGGCCTGGCCAGGTGTACTCTCTTCACTCAACCATGTAACCCCGCTCTCCCCCTGTCTGAGCAACTGGGCACTCTCTCAGATTCTGTCTGGAGAGGTGCCCATCTGTTCTTACAGATGTCCCTACCCTAATAAACCTTGTTTTTCTGCTTTCTGTCTCACGCCTGAATTCTTTCTTGTGCAAAGACAAGGACCCTGCCATTCACCAGTAACACACCCACATGGGAGACCCAAAAGAAGCTCCTGGCTTCAGAACAGCCCAGCTCCGGCCACTGTGGCCATTTATCGAGTAAACCAGTGGATAGAAGACTTGTCTCTCTGTCTCGCCCTCTCTCTGTTGGTAATTTTGCCTTTCAAATAAACAAAACTTTAAAAAGAAAAGAAAACAACAACAGAACAAACAATCCAGTTAAGAAATGGGCAAAGGACTTGAACAGGCATTTTTCAAGAGGAAATTCAAATGGCCAACAGACACATGAATAAGTGCTCTGGATCATTAGCCATCAGAGGAATGCAATCAAAACCACAATGAGGTTTCAACTCACCCTGGTTAGAATGGTTCTCAATCACCAGTGCCATGGCTCATTTGGCTAATCCTCCGCCTGAGGCACCAGCACCCTGGGTTCTAGTCCCGGTTGAGGTGCTGGATTCTGTCCCAGTTGCTCCTCTTCCAATCCAGCTCTCTGCTGTGGCCCGGGAAGGCAGTGGAGGATGGCCCAAGTGCTTGGGCCCTGCACCCGCATAGGAGACCAGGAGAAGCACCTGGCTCCTGGCTTCGGATTGGCACGGCGCGGCGCACACGCCAGCCACAGCACACCGGCCATAGCGGCCATTTTGGGGGTAAACCAACAGAGAAAGGAAGACCTTTCTGTCTCTCTCTCACTGTCTAACTCTGCCTGTTTAAAAAAAAAAAAAAAAAGGATGGTTCTAAATCAGAAATCAACAAACAAAAAATGCTGGCAAGGAAGTAGAGAAAAAGGTACTCTAATCCACTGTTCGTGGGAATGTAAACTAGTACAGCCATTGTGGAAGACAGCATAGTAATACCACAGAAATCTGAATACAAACCTACCATATAACCCAGCCATCCAACTCCTGGGAATTTACCCAAAGGAAAAGACATTAGCATACAAAAGAGTTATCTATACCCCCATACACATACACACACACACACACACACACACACACACATACTCTATGGACTACTACTCAGCCACAAAAAAAAAAAAAAAAAAAGAAGAATAAATGTAGCTGGAAACCGTTACATTTAGTGAAATAAGCCAGTCCAAAAAAAGATAAATACTATGTTTTCCCTGATCGGTGGTAACTAATAGAGTACCAAAAATGTAGTGTATAGGAGTGAAATTGACACTTTGAGATTTGATGATTGTTTACAGCCCTTGTCTCTACTGCTGAAGAACAGTGTTTTTTCTTCTTGATATTTGTTGAACTCTTTACTTAGTATAGGGTTAGTCTTCTGAGAATAAAGTAAACTGAAAGTAGATCACTGTAAATACTGAGAGAGAAAATAAGAGAGGAAGGAGGAAGAAGGGGTAGTATGGGTGGGAGGGTGGGAAGCATCACTATTTTCCCAAATCTATACATATGAAATACATGAAAGCTGCTTGCCTTAAATAAAAAAATAGTCAGACAGTCAAAGCAGAGTCAAATCGGGACAGGCAAGGATCCTGAATGTAGGGAAGCTGTTTTTAGAATCATTAATCTTCCAAATCAGATTTGTTTTTGGTTGGAGAACATAACAGGAGCAAGCTCTGGTCTCTGAGTATTTCAGGTCACCTGGTTGTAATATTCCTCATTGGTTACAGAATGATTAAACTATTTTGCATATTAAAAAAGTTCTTGTGGCTGGCATTGTGTTGTAGCGGGTAAAGCCGCCACCTGCAGTGCCAGCATCCCATATGGACACCAGTTGGGAGTCCCAGCTGCTCCGATCCAGCTCACTGCTATGGCCTTGGAAAACAATAGAAGATGGCCCAAGTCCTTGGGCCCCTGCATTCACATGGGAGACCAGGAAGAAGCTCCTGGCTCCTGGCTTTGGATCAGCACAGCTCCAGCCATTTTGGCCATCTGAGGAGTGAACCAGCAGATGGAAGACCTCTCTCCCTCGGCCTCTCTTTCTCTCTCTGTGTAACTCTGGCTTTCAAATAAATAAATAAATCTTTAAAAAAATTCTCCATAGTTATTAAAAGTATGTAAAAGGCCATCTGCCATACTACAACCATCTCACTACAGAGTAAAATTTTACTGTAAATTCTGAGTATTCCTTAGCAGAATGAACTTGAAACTGAAATTCCTATATGGTTTTGTATTTTTCAGTCCCAGAGATATTTAATATTTTTTAAACATGGTATTGTCTCTGGAAACAAAAGCATGACAGTACCTTGTGATGCCCATTTATCACAGCGTCGTGTAGGGGAGTGATCTGGCACAGTCCTTTGATGTTGACATCTGCTCCACCTTTTAACAGTTCTCTGGCTACCTGGTAATACCCTCCCAAACTAGCTTCATGGAGTGCTGTCCAACCTATTATATAGAGAGGAAATCCAAATGAAGAGATTTAAAAATGGTAAATACGGTTACTAGTTTTCCTGTGAATTCCTTAAGATGCATATGGCTTTTTAAAGCAAAAATTATAACATTATATTTTGGTATTTATCATATCTATAGATATGTCACATATGACGGTTACAGCATAAAGAAGGGGAATAATAGGCTGTGGGCACTCAAGGTTCTTATATTTAGTATGAAGTATTACAATATTAACTCTAAGAAGAATGCAAAACATTCGAGGCGATTACTTAATCCCTAGAGCAACTGAAAAATAATGCAAAAACAAAGAAACAAAAAACAGATCAAATAAACAGAAAACAAGCAGAAAATGGTAGTTCTAAATCCAATCATTTATATTAAATAGAAATGGATTAATCACTTCAATTTCCAATTAAAAGGCAAGAGATTGACAGAATCAATAAAAAAGCAAAATTGATACTGTCTACAAGAAACATAATTTAATTATAAATACAAGTTGAAAATAAAAGGATGGAAAAGGATACTGCAAATAAACAATAAGCCTAAGAAGGCCAGCATGACTGCATTAATATTATACACAACAGATATCGAGACAACCAGGTATCAGAAATACAGACGCCATTAACTCTCGAAGGCAGACGATGGTTCACCTCCAAGGACACTTCCATCCCTTTTATTGCTCAAACTATAGTAAAAATTAGTTTGCTCAAGGCCACAAAAATGGCTACCACAGGAATGAGAAAATAATCATTAAAAAGATTATTTTCTTTTCTCAGTCCTGAACAACTAAAAGATAAGGTAAAGCAAAACAAACATTTTTCTTCCACAAAAATGCCAATGCCATATTTTTAAATTACTGAAGAAATTCCCACTGAAAACAAGGTACATTGCGTCATTGGAAGTAAAGTTAGGTGGGGTGTGGGTAGGGACTGCAACTTTAGGTGAGATCTCAGCAAAATGATCTAGTGACGGGCCATCTTGGGTCAATGAAGTTAGAAGAAGCCTAATTCAACAGAGGTCACCATCGCAGACCACAAATACGGCCAACAGAAGTCAAAGGTAAAAGAATGCCCCCTCCCCTAAGAGTTACTTCTCTTGTGTTGTAAAACTACTCCTCAAAAATAACCATGGAGTACACTTTGTAACAGATCTTTTATTGTCTCCAAAGTCTGAAAGGAATGAAATCCTCAGACAACATTTTCTTTCAACTATCTTGTAGGAAATCTCTTTAAAAATGAACAAAATTAGGAGTGGTTAAAATGCCAGTTAGGATGCCTGCATCCCACCTCAGAGCTCCTAGGCTCAACACCCAGCTCCAGCTCTGGACTCCACCTTCCTGCTAATGCAAATCCTGGGAGGCAGTGGTGAGGGCTCAAGTAGCTGGGTTCCCACCACCAGGCAAGAGATCTGGACTGCATTCCCAACTCCCAGCTTGGGTCTTGCTCAGTGAGCATCTGGGAGCGTGCCTGCACATGAGTCTTGTTTCTCTCGCTCTCTCTCTAACATGTGTATCTGCTTCTCAAACAACTGAATATGAAAAAATAAATAAAACCATAAATTTTCTATAAGGAGAACATAACAACACATGTCTAAAAAAAGATTCAAGGATAAAACAACTCAACAGCAAGAAAACACAATTTAAAATTGGGCAAACAACCTAGATAAGACATTTCTCAAGAGAAGACATCCAAAATTGCTAACAAGAACATGAAAAAAATGCTAAACATCACTAACAATCAGGCAAGTGCAAGTTAAAATCACAATGAAATATCACTTCGCACCTGTTAGAACAGCTGTGATCAAGAAGACAAAAATAACAAGTGCTGGTGAGAATGTGGCTAAGAATGTAAGTTGCTACAACTGATAGGAGAAACAATATGGCAGCTCTTCAAAAGCTAAAAACAGAATTACCATATGACTCAGCAACTCCAGGACTGGGTGTACATTGAAAGGAAATGAAATGCACTCCCATTTATCGCAGCGTAACTTACAACAGCCAAGACACAAAATCAACTTGAGTGACTTTCCACATTGAACAGATAAAGAAAATGGGGTACAGGTTGAGGAACCCTTATCTAAAATGCTAGGGAACAGAAGTGTTTCAAATTTTGAAATACTTGCATGTGCATGTTTTACAGGATGAGCACCCAAATCCAAAAATCCAAAATCTGAAATATTCCAAATCCTAAATGTTTTGAGAAATATGTTGGTTTTCAGAAAATTTTTAGTTTTGCAGCCTTTCAGATTTCAGACTAGGGATGCTCAACGTAAGTTGGATGCGTGTGTGTGTGTGTGTGTGTATACACATGCATGTAGGTGCACACACACAACAAATGAAATACAGTTATAAAAGGAAAAAACCCTGTCATTTACAACAACAGGTGAACTGCAAGGACATCATGAAAGATAAATACCACAGGATTTCATTCATGTATAGATTCTACAAATGTTGATCTTAGAAGCAGAGAGCAGATGGTGGTTAGCAAGGATGACCGTGGTTGGGGGGAGGGGACTGTTGAGATACTGGTCACAGGATGCAAAATTTCAGTAAGACAGGAGGAATAAGTTCAAGAGATCTGTTGTACAATGTGGTAACTGACAATAACTGGAAATACATAAGGACAGTTCAAAAAGTTCATGGAAAATGGAACCAAAAGCAAGTTTATTTTGGTGCAAAAAATGTTGAAATCATATATACATAGGTATTCTTGAGAAGTGCTAAGTGTGTAAAATAATCATGTGAAGTAATATGTGTAATAATTAGCTAGACTTAGTCATTCCATAATGCATATATACGTCAAAGCATCAGATTGTACAGAGTAAATAAATACAATTTCATTTGTCAATGTAAAAATGGAATTAAACTTCAAAAATTCATGATAATGTTTATACAGCGACAGTTAACTCTCAGAGATATGAAGTAAATTCTTTTCTGTATTAACTAGTCCTTAACAACTGCCTATTTTTTTTATTTTTTTAAATTTTATAGCTAGAGACAGACAGACAGACAGAAAGAAAGAAAGAAAGAAAGAAAGAAAGAAAGAAAGAAAGAAAGAAAGAAAGAAAGTAAGTAAGTAAGTTTCCATCTGCTGGTTTACTCCCCAAAATCCCACAGCAGCAAGCCAGGGCTGAGCTGGGGTCAGGGCTAAACCCAGGAACTAGGAACTCAATCTATGTGGCTGGTATCCCACATGGATGGTAGGGACTCAATTACTTGAGCTATCACCACCACCTATCAGGTCTGCACTGGTGGGAAGCTGGAATCACCAGCCAGAGCCGGGCATCAAACCCAGGAATTCTGATACAGCACACAGGCATCTGAATCACTAGGCCAAACATCCATCTCTTCCCTACTATTTTTAACATCATCTGTTTCTTGGTTGGCTAGTAGTATAAAGCTCTTGCTCTTATCAGCATCCTATATGACAACCTCTCTTTTCAGTCCTAACATGCTTAGGAATCAGATAGCATTATGTGTAAAATACAGCTCACAGCATTGGTCTGAGAGATGGCTTTAGTAAAAAGGCTTTATGAAATGTATTTTAGGTATTCAGTCTTTTTCAGTCTACTTCTTGGCTGTCACTCTTGTTTTTGATAGGTAAAGAATTACAACAGGGGTCGGCACTGTGGCACAGCAGGTAATGCCTACGGCACTGGCATAACACATGGGTGTTGTTTTGAGTTCTGGATTCTCCATTTCCAGTCTGGCTCCCTGCTAATGCATCTGCAAAGCAGAAAGACGGCCCAAGTGCTTGGGCCCCTGCATCCACGCGGGAGACACAGAGGAAGTTCCTGGCTCCAGGCTTTGGACGGGCCCAGCTCCGGCCTTTGCAGCCATTCAGGGACTGAATTAGCGGAGGGAGGATCTCTCTATCTCTTCCTTCTCACTCTCTAACTCTGCCTTTCAAATAAAACAAATAAATCTTTTTTAAAAAGGAATTATAGCAATTAGTTTTTAAATCAAGGACAAGGATATCGTAAAACATAAATGAGGATAAAATGCAAATCATACTTATGAAAAGACCATTGGTATGTTATTACAAAATTTTGTTTATTTCTCATAGGGCATTTAGCTTTCTTTATTGTTATTATAAAATTGTGACAGGTGACTCAAAAGTTTAAATTATCTACAAGGTATAGCAAGGTGGTTATAGACTACAGGTTATTTTGCTTGATTGTTTTAAAAGCAGGGCCTGTTCTTCATAAAAATAAATGACAATTTGTAACTGGCCTATTTCTGTCTTCTGTACCTCTGCTTGCTTGATAACAGCAAGGCCACCAGACTATGGTTCCTCTTGCCTTATCCCTGCTGCAGCCAAAAGATAACACAGGTGGCGTCAGGATCAGTGATGCCATGTCTGACCTTGACCAGGAACAATTGCGTCGTTAAAATTTTTCAAAGACAAATACAGTTGAAAAGGAACTGGCTGATTGGCTAACTGCTTCTCACTTCTGTATGCCTGTTTTCTGCTTGCACAAGCCCACACACGTAATTAAATGACTGACTAAAAAAAAAAAAGTAGGTTTTGCCTTAAAAAACCCCCTGACACTGCAACTTGGGGCTGTCTTCTCTGGACTTGCTCTGTGGGACGGCAGTCACCAGTTGGCTAATAAAGACTCCTAATTTGATCTCAAAGTCTCGCTGCGCTTTTAATCTGTGCACCCCACAACAAAATAAATACATTGTGCAGAGTAGAAGCATGCTGTGAAAACATAACATAAAAGTGAAATGGTACCTAAAAGTCACACACTGCTTGCCAGTAAGTCACCTGTGAGGACTTCCAGGTTCTAACATACACATTTTGAGTACACATGCACACACATGCACACACATGCACATGTAAGTGTGTTTTGGGAGGCTAAGTCATAGCTGCATTTTAACCATCGCTGGTGGAACCAGGGGTTGAGGTACAGCAAGTTAAGCCAGGCCTGCAATGCTGGCATCCCATATGGGAGTGCCTAGTTCAAGTGCTGGCTGCTCCACTTCTGATCCAGCTCCCTGCTATTGGCCTGAGAAGGCAGCAGAGGATGGCCCAAGTACTTGGGTCCCTGTGATCCACGCAGGAGACACAGACAGAATTCTTGGCTCATGGCTTTGGTTTGGATCCGATGGCGATTGTGGCCATCTGGGGAATGACCCAGTGATGCTCTCTCTCTCTCTTTCCATCTCCCTATCTCTGTCTCTGTCTCTTGCCTTTCAAATAAACAAACATTTTTAATTTTAAAAAGAACATTCTGTCCCTCTCTTCCGATAACAACTGCTTTTCAAGTAAACAAACTTTTCAAAGGAAGAAAAGGAACATTGCTGGTGATTCTGATAGCACCGGTTTGCACACACCCTGTACAAACTGTGATCTCTGCAAGCCTGTGAGATAACGGAGCCAGAAATAAAGAGAGCTAAGAGGCACAAACTGACAAGAGAGAGTAGAGAACAGGGCAATTCAAAAGGCCTAAAAAACATAGTAAGGAGGGGCTGGCACCATGGTGCAGTGGGTGAAGCTGTGACAGCCGCTGTCTGCAATGCCAACATCCCATATGGGTACTGGTTCGAGTCTTGCCTGCTCTACTTCCGATCCAGCTCTCTCCTATGACCTGGGAAAGTAGAAGATGGCCCAAGTGCTTGGGTCCCTGCACTGGCATGGGAGACCTGGAAGAAGCTCCTGGCTCCTGGCTTCGGATCAGCCCAGCTCCAGCTGCTGTGGCCACCTGGGAGTGAAACAGAGGAAGACCTCTCTCTCTCTGCCTCTGCCTCTCTGTAACTCTGCCTTTCAAATAAGTAAATAAATCTTTAAAAAATAATAATAATAAAGAGAGAATTAGTGAAGCTTACAAAGTGCCTGGGGCAGTGAGGAAAAGGTGCATACTAACTGGCTGAAGCAAAGCAGGGAGCAGCCACGGAGATTAAAGCTGGCACAGAAAACAAAACTGCTAATGAAAAGAACCAAGTCTAAGACATGCTCAGGAAACCTACAAGTGCGAGCTGATTGCATGGAGAGCTCCTGATCTCAGTGGACAGACACAGGCAGGAGCCGGAGTTGGGGCGCAGAGGGTTAGGCTGCAGCTTGGACGGCAGTATCCCATATCAGAGAGCAAGTCCAAGGCTGGGCTACTCTGCTTCCCCTGCAGGTCCCTGCTTTTCCCTGGAAAAGCAGCTGATAATGACCCATATCAGAGAGCAAGTCCAAGGCTGGGCTACTCTGCTTCCCCTGCAGGTCCCTGCTTTTCCCTGGAAAAGCAGCTGATAATGACCCAAGTCCCTGGGCCCCTGCCACCCATGTGGGAGACCCTGATGGATTGATTTCCTGGCTTCTGGCTTCAGCCTGGCCCAGCTAGCCCTGCCTGTTGTGACATTTTGGGAAGAGAATCTACAAAAGGAAGAACCTCTCCCTCTCTTGCTCTCCTTCTCCCAGCTTTTCAAATAAATAAATAACTCTGTTGTTTAAAAAACATGGGCATAACCAGAGTACTAAGAGAAGCGCTATAGCTAGCAAATAAGGATCCCAAGTCGACAGTTTGGGATCATCCAGGTTGACTTTGGTATAAAGTTTAGAATAAATCCTGCTGAAACTCTGATTACACCATAAACCCCAGCCTTGCTAACACACATGCTGGAGATAAGCTGTGAACACGTGGTATCCACGGTCTGTGCCGTGCCATCTCTGTCTACCCTAAGACTTTCTGCACTGCTGCATCAACTGAGAAAGTATAGAACAAAAGGAAAAGTGTGGACCCCAAAAAGCATCTTCCAGGCTGGCCCAGTGCTGCTTAGTGCATGAAAGTGTTTAAGGCACCCTTCCTCTGCAGAAGAACAAACCGGATTCTCTCCCAAGGAAGATGGTCCCAGAGATACGGCACTGCGAAAAGACTGCTCTTTGAAGCTCCCTGTCCCACCCTCTCTACCTCACACTGCTCCATCTCCTTGCCCACTGCTCCTGCTACAGACCTGCCATTTGGTCAGAAGCCTCCCCAGGGGCTCAGTGTGCCCTCAGCTTCTCTCCTCCAGCCAAGGCTGAGCCTTACAGGAACACTGACCACAGAAAGCAGACCCAGGAGCCGTCCTTCTTTGGAACGACAATGGGCACGGCCCGCCTGGCATAATCTTTGAATGAGAAATAATGCACTTTTCCTGACAGCCACCGCCCCGACCGTCCCCTCCTCCCCAGCAGATGATAATGAAGATTACTTATGCCAGAAAACTACCCGACAGCTTTCTGCTCAGGACCGTCCTGAGGCCCACTTGGCTGTACTTGATTCAGATAAAACTGGAGAACACTCACAGGTAACCATGGGTGGGAACTCTAACTTACCAGCATAACTGGGCTGATTAACATTTGCACCTTTTTTTATAAAACAGTGAACAAGATCCACATCATTGTGCAGAGCAGCCTGATACAGTAAATTCTCTCCAAAAATGTTTCTCCGGTTAATGCTAGAAAGAGATATGTTATACTCTCTCCTTGTTCCTGAAAGGAGAAAATGAGCAAAAGAAAAAAAAAAAAAAAACGCTCATTTGAAAATCAGGTTGAATCCAATGAACACTCTGGAAGTAAGGTACACTATAGCTATAATGTTATCTATGTACAAAGAGAAGTGATAAATCTAATTAGTTTTAAAATATTTGTGGTAAATTATAAATCATGATAAGGTAGTGTATACTGGTTGAAACCCCATGAAAGATACATATGTGAGGACATTAACAGATTTTCTCAAAGGTTCTGGTGAAAATGACTATTCAAATCTAGAACTCTATACTATCAAGCTTACTAAAATGCTATAGGAGTGGGCAAAATCAGTTAAGAAGCCCATGCACCAAACTGGCAAAGTATCTGTTCAACCGGTTCTTGACCCCAGCTTCCTACTAATGCAGACCCTGGGAGGCAATGGAGATGGCTCGAGCAACTGGGTTTCTGTCACTACAGGGGAGACCTACACCGAGTTCCTAGCTCTTGGTTTTCATCACAGTCTAACTCTCCCCAGTGCAGGCATTTCAGGAGTGAAACTGCATGGAAGCTCTCTGTCTCTGCCTCTCTGCCTCTGAAATAAACAAATAAAAAAACACTTTGAGGGACAGGCCTATTGCACAATGAGTTAAGCAGCGGCTTGGGACACCAACATCCACCATCGGATGCCAGTTTGAGTCCCAGCAACGTCACTCCCAATTCAGCTCCCTGTGAATGGGCCTCGTAAGCAACGCATGATGTCTCAAGTACCTGAGTCCCTGCGACCTACAGGGAGAGCATGGTGGAGTTCCTAGCTCCTGGTTTCCACCTGGCTGCTCTGAGGATTTGGGGAGCAAAGCAGCAGATGGAACATCTCCCCTGCTCTCACTCTGTCACTCTGCCTTTCAAACAAATAAATCTTAAAATTTAAATGACAAAGCAGCAAGGAATAGAAAAAAGTTCAGTGCAAACTAAGTTGTGGACGTTCACTTTCAGTCCTAACTAAATAACTGCTGTGACTTCCCCTCACCCCGTTCTAAACAACCAGAAAACTAAGTGAAATGCACGCAGGGAATCGAGTTTCAAACACTGGAGAGTGCAAAGTCCGAACCTAGGACCCCCTGAAATGAAGGGACACAGACAAGGGCAGGAGGCCTAGGATCACCCTGGCTTCTTGCACAGGGTTGGTAGGGGACAGGCAAAGCAGGTGGATCTTGCTGATGTGAGGAAATAGACATTAGATTGGAGGAGGCTGGGATGGCACAACTTGCTGGAAAGAACCCAAGATGAGAGAACACAGCAAAGACACTAGAAACTCATCCTGAGTCATTATCCAAATATTAAATTGCTTGTGTATAAGGCAAGCATCCATAGGCCAGCATGAACGACTATCAAGGAACTGTAATTAACCACCGTCAGAGAATACACAGAGCTTGGAGATACTCCCATGCCTACCAGCCTGCAAAGACAAATTCTGCTTAACAAGGAGAGGTAGGAGTTGGGGGGGTTGGGGGGACAGCTCTGATCTGGTAGTTCACTCCCCAGACGCCCACTCTGACCAGGGCTGAGCCAGATGCTGAGAATTCAACGTGAGCCTCCCACATGGGTGGCTGGGACCCAACTACTTGAGCCATTGTCTGCTGCCTCCCAAGAGTCCACATTTTCAGAAATCTAGAATTGCAAGCTGGAGCTGGGACTTGAACTCAAGTATGGGATGCAGGCATCCTAATCAGTGCTTTGGCTGCAAGGCTGAACACTCACTGCTACAACTGCCTTTTTTTTTTTTTAATGAAACTTTGAGGGGCCAGCAACGTGGCACAGCAGGTTAACTCCCTGGCTTGAAGCACTGGCATCCAAAATGGGCACCAGTTTAAGACCTGCCGGCTCCACTTCCCATCCAGCTCTCTGCTTTGGCCTGGGAAAGCAGTAGAAGATGGCTCAAATCCTTGGGCCCCTGCACCCGTGTGGGAGACCTGGAAGAAGCTCCTGGCTTCTGGCTTTGGATTGGCGCAGCTCCAGCTGTTGCGGCCAATTGGGGAGTGAACCATTGGATGGAAGACCTCTCTCTCTCTCTCTGCCTCTCCTCTCTCTGTGTAACTCTGACTTTCAAATAAGCAAAAAAATCATTAAAAATAAATAAATGAATGAAACTTTGAGAATGTTACACTTTTCAGTTCTTAAAAATTTACTTATTTGAGAGAAAGACCCATCTGCTAGCCACTCCCCAAATACTTAGAACGGCTGGGGCTGAGCCAGGGCTGAATTCAAGAGGTGAGAACACAACAAAGGGAACATAATCTGACACTTGAGTGACAAAAGCTCAATCACTTAAGCCACCCCTGCTGCCTCCAGGGTCTGTGTTAGCAGGAAGCTAGAGTTAGGAGCCAGAGTCGTGACTCAAACCCAGGCACTCTGATATGGGGCATGGGTATCTTAGCCAGCACTTTAACCAGTAGGCTAAATACCTAACCCCAGAGTAGCTGTTCTTGCACATTCCATCAAATTTTCTACACAATCAGGCTGTTCATAACTAAAAACATCCTTTCTAAGCTGGGTGCCTTTTGTTCTTCTTCCTGACTGCCCCGGCTAGAACCTGCAGTACAGAGCTCAACAGAAACGATGGGAGGAGACGCCCCTGTTCTGCGGGACCATCTTGGGAAAGCCCTTTGTCAGGCTGAGGAAATCCCCCTCTATTCCTAGCTCACAGAGAGTTTGTATCAGGAATGGATGCTAAGTGCTGTCAAAGCCCTTTTCAGAATTTTAATATTAAAATGATCTTATGGGTTTTTTTCAGTTTATTATAATGAATTACAGTGATAAAAATTTTTAATTGTAAAACCAACCTTGCATTCCTAGCATAAACACTATTTGGTGTTGGTATATATCAAATCATGTTAGATTTAATATGCTAAATTCTGTTGAGAATTCATGAAGTAATATAGTTTTTCTTCTCATAACAGCTTTGATTTTGGCATCAGTTTAATGGTGACCTTGTAAAATGAGTTGGGAAGTATTTCCTCATAAATTTTTTGGAAGAGTCTGTAAAGAACTGGCATTAATTCTCACTTAAATTTTTGTTAGAAGTCACCACTGAAAGTGCTTCAGATTGAAGCAGCCGATGCTACCAATGAATTGTGCAATGCTGGGAAAATCCTAACTCCTGCTGAACACAGTTTCCTGATCAGTGAAATGAAGAAGTGCAGGCAGGGAATAACCAGAATTCCATTTCTGTAAGTTACTTCCTTAAAGAAATGAAGAAATACTCAAAATATGTCTCACCTTTTCTTTCTCCAAATCGTTCATTCTTCCTGACCCATCCAGTCTGGAATCTGGATAAATGAGTATCCCTCCGTTTACCTCTTATTAAAGCAAGATCCTGCATTCTTGAAAAATAAATGTAGTTTTTAAATCACCAATGTTTTCTACTAGCATTCATGAAGAATCACACCAAATTTTTACTAGATTTTTAAAATGCAAAGGTATTTTACTGGGCTATTCTCCAGTGTATTGCAGCTTTAACAAGAAATGACTCCTCAATGGACTACACGTAAATCCATGGCAGGCAGGCCCATGCCACCCTCTCTCCATGACACGCGTGGGACTCGCTACTCTACTTGCAGTCACCTGCCAGTGTGAGCATTTTGAATCTCCCACCCCTCACTCCCCATTTCCCTATTCTAGGGAAAAAGAGGCAGGCTTTTTTGCAAAAGAAAAAACTTGTTATGTGGTATGACACTGATCAAAAATTGCGAAATCCAAAACAAAAAGAAATATAACAAATAAAATTTTTTACTTGAACCAAATTTCTCCAGCTATGTAAGTATCTATTAGGTACATACAGCCTACCTGGAGAGACACATAATTTGGTAGCATACCTGAAATTCTTAGTTGAACATTGATTTATTCCATCTTCACCACTACGTACTTTTGGTAAAATGTTTTCTGGCATCTTACACGTGTCAGCTGAGGGCTTTGCTTCCCTGATGACTTTCAGCTTTTCCAGTCTGGATGATCTCCTTAACACATGTGGAGCGTCCTGGTCACAGCCATTTTCCACTGGATTTGAATTTTCCTTACTGCTTAGTGGCTCACAAGAGGTGACATTTTGGTGAGAAGTCTGCAATCCACATGAATTTGGGTCTTCCAGAGTCTGTAAAGATGTAAATACACCCACAAACAATTACAGCACTGCAAAAAAATTTAAAACCAGAAGAAATTAAATTTTACCTTGTCCTCTAATCAAAATGCTTCTTACAAAATGAAAGTTCAAGAATTTGCAGGCATATGAACACAATGAAAAACTTATAACTGGTATAATAAAGGAAAATGCATATTTAAGAGGTTAAGAAGAGTGTAGGCCAGCGCCACAGCTCAGTAGGCTAATCCTCCACCTTGCAGCGCCGGCACACCGGGTTCTAGTCCCGGTCAGGGCACCGGATTCTGTCCTGGTTGCCCCTCTTCCAGGCCAGCTCTCTGCTGTGGCCCGGGAAGGCAGTAGAGGATGGCCCAAGTGCTTGGGCCCTGCACCCCATGGGAGACCAGGAGAAGCACCTGGCTCCTGCCTTCGGATCAGCGCTGTGCGCCAGCTGCGGCAGCCATTGGAGGGTGAACCAACGGTAAAGGAAGACCTTTCTCTCTGTCTCTCTCTCTCTCACTGTCCACTCTGCCTGTCAAAAAAAAAAA